CTCTATGAGATGGATTGATTCAGTGACTGGGGTAATCGGGATGGGTGTGTCAGAGGCAGTGCGATTGGCACAGGATAGAGCAAGGTTTAGGGCTGTTGTACATAGGGTCGCTATGAATCGCAAACGACTCGACGACACATAACAACAACAACAACCACCTGTGTTTTATTGACTATGCAAAGACATTTGACTGTGTGGATTATGACCAACTATGCCTAACATTGAGAATAATGGGAATTCCAGGGCACCTAAATGCTTATATAACATTAATACCTAGAGTAAGAAACTTGTCTAAACAGAACAAGGAAACACTGCATGGTTTAAAACCAGGAAAGGTGTGCATCAGGGTTGTATCTTCTCTCCATATTCATTCTGTATGCTGAGCAAATAATTCAGTAAACTGAACTTTATGAAGATGAGTGTGGCATCAGGATTGGAAGAGGCTTGTCAACAATCACTGTGAGGCAAATAACACAGCCTTGTTAACTGAAAGTGAGGAGGACCTGATGCACGTGTTGGAGAGGATCAAGGATTCAGTATGGCTTACATCTTAACAGCACGTAAACAAAAATCTTGACCACTGGACCAATAGGCAACATCATGATAGATGAAGAAAAGATTGAAATTATCAGTGATTTCATCTTACTTGGATCCACAGTCAGCACCCTTGGCACCAGCAGTCAGGAGATCGGGAAATGTATAGCACCTCTACAGATCTTAGTGGGGCAGGCCCTGGAAAACTCTGAAGGTCTTTCTGGCCTAGACATCTTGTTTCTTTAAGGCCTGTGCTCTGCTCAGGGGTACGGATATCCCAGTAGTTCATTTGGAAGATCCACAGGGCTCAACACACTTGAATACTTGTGATAGAAGGGGGGGGAAAAAGACCCTTTGGGAATGACATTAATATAATTTACACTCACTTTTCTTTCAAAAAAGGAATTTTTGTCACATAGTCCGTAGAAGCTTGCCCAGCTAACCCAAAGTCGGCACATCTCAGGTGATTGAATCCATGATGCCTCAGGAGAAAGCTGGAGAGTGTCCTTGCTTGTGATTTACAGCCTCAGAAAATCCCCCTAGAGGATCAGCTGTGATTAAGTTCCAAACAGACTGCAGTAAGAGAGAGGATGAGGTAGCTCTAGTGACTTAGTCCATTGGACAATCTCTCTCTGGTAGTTCAGTCCATCAGCAGCTCTCTGGAAAGATGGACTATCTTCTCCAGTTGAATTTAGAGCCTTGGAAACCTGCTGGAGGCTTAGGCGGGAGTCAGTTCTGACTCAACGGCAGTAAGCTGAGTATTCTTTTAAAATGGGGTTTGGGCAATTTGAAATATATAATGTACATGTAGGTCTGTATGTACTTAAATATACGGAAAGGGAGCTCTGGTGGCCTCGTGGTAAGGACTGCGCTGCAATCCCAAAGGCATGCAGTTAAAATCCACATCAACTGCTCCATGAGAGAAAGATGGGCACTCTCCCATGCAATTAAACTGCCTCTCAAAACCTGCTGGAGGGTCAGCTATGGTTCAATTCCGACTTGAGAGAGCACATTAATAACAGTATATAGAAAGGACAGAAATGGCTAAAAATAAATGTAAAAAGTAGATTTAGCCAGTACAGAAAATGGGGACCCTGATGACCGAATGTTAAAAAAAAACAACAAACTGCACTATGATCCTAAAGGCACTTGGTTCAAATCTATCGGCTGCTTTGCAGAAGGTTGAACAATCTTCTGTGTGATTATTGCCTTTGAAAACCGGCTGGAGGGTCAGCTGCGGGTTGTTTCCAAAGGTACAAAAGAACAACAACAACATAGCATTGGGAAAGTCTACTGTCAGAGATGTCTCCAAAGTCTTGAAGAGCAAGGATACCAGTTTAAAGACTAAGTAATCTGTGTCTGATTGAAGCCACGGTCTTTCCAGTCACCTGCTATGCATCTGAGACCTAGACAGTGAATAAGGATGACAGGAGAAGAATCTCTGCTTTAGAGTTGTGGTGATGGAGAAGAGTGCTGAATATCCCATGGACTGCCAAAATATCAGGTACATCTTGGCAAAAGTGTAACCAGAATGTCCCTTGGAGACAAAGATGGTGAAATTTCGTTTCACATATTTTGGACAAGAGGACATCATGCTTGGAAAAGTGGAGGGAATGAGAGGAAGACCCTCAGTAAGATAAGTTGATAGTGTCTGCTGCAATGGACTGAAAGGGGTTAAGGATGATACAGATGGCACAAGATAGAGTTCATATCTGTTCATAGAGTTGCTATGAGTTGTACTTGACTTGATGGCATTTAACAATAACATCAACATACAGGTTGATCTTCAAGCCAAGTACTAGGAATCTTCTATCTGTCTACCACCCATCTAACTGTAGGAGGAACAATTGTTAGGATAGAAACAGCGTTTTGCTCTTTTTTTCTAGCTTCAAGAGTTTTGTAAGCCACTTGTCAAAATAGTTCCGAAGTATTTACTTTCCTTAGCTTTTCCCACTGACTTCAGTGACGTATTCCAGATTCTCTTAAACACAGTGAAGGATTCAAAGGCAGAGCCACTTTTTCTGTCTATACTGCAGCACCTGCTCTTGGTCAGGAATGACTATGAAGCCAGGTAAGATGGAATACTTACTAAGTTTTGAATTGGAGCCTAGATGAAGAGAGCAACATTTTTTTAATTTTCTGTAAAGGGGAAAAGACAAGGATGAAAAATTAGATTAGAAGAATAGTCAACTCTTCCTTTAATCCAGCTAAAAAGTATCCCTGTGGGAAAAATTAGAAAGCGTATGAGGTGAGATACCCTTCCTTTTCTTCAAGATGATAATGGAGGCAGATGACAATCAAATTCCCTGTGGTTGCTTCAATACTGAGGCTCAGCTGTAACATTTATCCATAACTAGGAAGACTGAACCAAAGTTTTGGATGAGAAAGAAAGGCATTAGGAGGCAAATGGCAGGAATTATTTTTATTATTTGAAATAGATGCTATGGATGGGGACAGTTTCCTAGCAAGGCACTAATACTTAAATTAAAGTTATGAAAAGATAATTTTGAGAACACTTACCGTCCTCTCTCTCTTATCAAATAGTATTTTTCTTGACCCTAAGTACTTCTTTTTAGTTTTCCTTTGATAACCCTCTCTTGTTTCTTCTGTAGACCACAGTACTATAAGTTGATTGAAGAATGTATTTCCCAGATAGTTCTGCACAAGAATGGGGCTGATCCTGACTTCAAGTGTCGGCACCTCCAGATTGATATTGAAGGCTTGATTGGTAAGCATGCTCTTTTTTTTTTAAGCATGCTCTTTCATCTGACTTCTCAAAAAAACTGCCTCTGTCTTTCAGCTTATAGCTTTCTTTTGGTGCTAAGATAGATTTTTCAGTATCTTCACTTTTCACCAAACCTTTTTCTTTTGACCTTTCCAAGGTCATAATTATGTCTGTGTTAGGAATATAAAGACCTTTAGTTTCTTTTTTTAATTTATTTTTTCTTTCTTTTTCCTTTAGTTTATTTCTACATAAATATCACATTATGAAGGAGCTTTAGCTATTATCTGTGACTCTTCTGATATAAGAGATAGTCCATGAAGATATTCTTCATGCCACCCAGTATGGTAGCCTTACTACTCAGCATATATATATATAATTTATCTATTTAATTTCATTTTTATTTCTTTGTCTCCTACAGAACATTAAGGATAATGAAAATAATGAGAAAGACAAAAGACTGAACTTTGATTGTATTGAAAGACTGAGCTAAAAAAGAGAAGACAGCTATCTTAGTTATCTAGTAATGCTGTAACAGAAAGACTGCAATTGAGTGACTTTAACAAATGTATTTTCTCACAATTTAGGGAGCTAGAAGTGTCAGTTTATGGTACTAGCTAAAGGGGAAGGCTTTCTCTATCAGTTCTGGAGGAAGGTCCTAGTTTTTCCTGAGCTGCTGCTCCTGAATGATCTTCATGTGACTTGACATCTTTTCTGCCATCTCTGCTTCTAGCTTGCTTGTTTAATCTCTTTCATATCTCAGAAGAAATTGATTTAAGATGACAATCCTTCATTAGTCCTGTTGCATTAACATAATAAAGACAACTTATTGTCAGATGGATTATGACCACAGATATAGGGATTAAAATTTTTTTTATTTGGGGGGTGGGGCACAATTGAGATTCATAACAACAACAGATTTGGGAGCTATATTAATTATTATTCTTTTCAGACCAAATGATTGATAAAACAAAGGTGGAGAAATCTGAAGCCAAAGCTACAGAGCTTGAAAAAAAGGTATGAATGAGGTATCAAAAGTGTTGATTTAGGGTATCTCTTTTTTAGGAGGATGATATTTCTGACATGTGAGACATTTATAACCTGTCATAGTTTGAGTGCCTTCAGCACATAACCGTTGTTATAGGACCAAAACTTTCCCAACATAGTTTGCCCATAAAGGAGGTGATGTGACTCTGATCATGAAGAGCTAAGGACTGACTTGCAGAGTTCTTGAACCCCTGTTTGGCAAGGAAAGACAAGTCATAGTGATGGTTCTCTCAGGATTGCTTGGCACTTTGTCAGGCCTCTTAGTGGGAACTTGAATAAGGCTACATTTTGTTTCTTTTTTTCTCTTTAGTTGTTAAGGACTATTATTGTAGCTGGAAGGTTCTTGATCCAAAAAACCATTGAAACCTTACCACCATAGCTGTCCTGTTTAAATGTCTTTTTACAATCTTAAGTTTTTTAATAATTCCAAAGGTAGGAAGACCATGGAAATTGTCCATTTTCCCTTTTACCTTGATTTTAGTGTCAAAATCCTGGTGCTTTTTGTCCTCAGGCATTACCTGAGGTATTGGTTAGTGAGCTCTATAAATCAAGTATTAGCATAAACCAGTAAATTACAGAGATTAAGATATCCTTTTTCTATGAGCTGGAGACTTTATTAGGATTCTAATTCCTTTCTCCTTTAGCTGGACTCAGAGTTAACAGCCCGACATGAGCTCCAGGTGGAAATGAAAAAGATGGAAAGTGACTTTGAGCAGAAACTCCAGGACCTTCAAGGAGAGAAAGAAGCATTGGATACTGAAAAACAGCACATTGCCACAGAGAAGCAGAGCCTGGAAGCAGAAGTGGCTCAGCTTACAGGAAAGGTAAAGTGAATTGGGGAGGCTGAGTGCATTAGTATGAGCATATCTGGAGCAGGAGACAGTGATTTCACTCAGAGGGAACCTTCAGCTACTAATAGATTGTGTGGTGCTGCTGTTTGCCCTCGAGTCGGGGCCAACCCATAGCTGACCCTCCAGTGAGTTTTCAGAGGCAATAAATCACATGTGAGGAGACTGCCCATCCTTCTCCTGCAGAACAGCTGGTGGATTTGAACCACATGCCTTTCGGATCACAACACAGCTTTTTACTGCTGGCCCTCCAAAGCTCCCTTAGATAGTGCATAGTGTTCCATATCATTTGCTATTTATTTTTTTTTTCTTTTGGAGTTAATATGATGTAAAATTTAGACAATAAAGAAAAACAGAGTAAAATTAATCAATTGCTGTACCTTCTCAAAAATAAAAATAATGTTTGTTAAGTGCCATTGACTTGTAAATAGTTCTCTAATAAATTTAGGAGTAAAAAGAAAATAAACTTTTCTTAAATCTGCTAATTTTGGTTTATTTTCATCATCGCTGGGCAGATTAATACTCATCTAAACACACACACTGCAGTTATCAGTATTTAAATGATAGGGAGCTCTGGTGGCTTAGTGATATGGAGTTGCACTGCCCACCCAAAGGCATGCTATTAAAGCAAATCAGCAGCTCCAAGAGATGAAGATGGACAGTGTGCGCTCTTGGGATTTACTGCCTCTGCAGGAAAGCATGCTGGGGGGTCGGCTGAGTCTGTTCCGACTCCACAGTACGCAGTAACAGTATCATGCATAACAACCACATAATGACCACTTATGTTTATTTATCATTATAGAAATATAATTATGTTTATATCATTACATAATTGCTTGTTAGCACATATATTGACTATATAACTAAAACATTTGATTTGCTTGGGTTTTATATTTTTTTTAAGAAATGGCAAAGGCTGATGTAAAGGTTGAAATTGCCTTTTCAATGACATAAAGGTCTGAATTCTAGTTTTAGATTTGCCATTAGATAGCAGTATTACGTTAAATGAGTCATCTGATATCTGTGACACCTCTTAGTCCTTTCATGCATAAAATGAAAGGTTTGGATCAAGTCTTTTCTTTGGTTCTTTGAGCAATAGTTCCTGAGATGAAGTGAGATTTGTTCACTTTGATGTCTCCTTCTGTAGATTACCAAGCTGTCAAAGGAACTGGAAGATGCCAAGAAAGAAATGGCTTCTCTCTCTGCTGCAGCTGTGTCCAGCACTGCTAATATTCCCTCTGCCCCTCCTTTACCTGGTACCTCTGGCACTGTTTCCTCCCCTGCACCTCTTTCTCCTCCTGAAGGTAGTGCCATTTCTTCTCGATCAACTCCTCCCCCACCCCCTCCTTTACCTGGAGATAGTGTTATTCCCCCACCCCCTCCTTTACCTGGAGCTGGTATTATTCCCCCACCACCTCCATTACCTGGAGCTGGTGTTATTCCTCCACCTCCTCCTTTACCTGGAGCTGCTGTCATTCCCCCACCTCCCCCACTGCCTGGGGGTGCTAGCATGGTCCCACCCCCTCCACCTTTACCTGGAACATCAGGGATGCCTCCTCCTCCTCCTCCTCCTCTTCCTTTTGGTTCTGGAATACCTCCACCTCCTCCTTTTCCTGGGGGTCCTGGCATTCCCCCACCTCCACCTGGAATGGGTATGCCTCCACCTCCTCCCTTTGGATTTGGAGTTCCTGCTGCCCCAGTTCTGCCATTTGGATTAACCCCAAAGAAACTTTATAAGCCAGAAGTGCAGCTCCGAAGGCCAAACTGGTCCAAGGTGAGTTTATTTTCATTATATCATTAAGTCTCAAAAAATCCACTTTTAGTTTCCTACTTTGTGGTTTTATACATGAATTGGAAGTTGTCAGAATTTAAATGGAACACATACAGATCTTAGGCATTGGTGAGTGAGCTGCAACATACTGGCATTGGCCACTTTGACTTGGTGGGTTCCTCATAAGAATATGCCCAAAGGAAGTGAAACAAAGTTTCACCATCCTTGCCTCTAAGCAGCACTCTGGTTATACGTGCTTTAAGATAGATTTATATGTTCTTTTGGCAGTCCTTGTTATATCCAATACTCTTTGCAAGCATGACAAATCAAAGGCATTGATTTTTTTCACTAGTCTTCTTTGTTTATTGTCCAATTTTCAGATGCATAGAAAGTAATTTAGAAGACCATGGCTTAGATCTAAGTGCACTTTAGTCTTTAAACTGACATCCTTGCTCTTAAGTACTTTTGAGAAGTTCTTGACAACAGATTTTTCCCAATGTATCATGTCTTTTGATTTCTTGACTGCTGGTACCATAGATAGTGATTATGGATTCAAGTAACATTAAGTCATTAACAACTTCAGTCTTTTCTCCATCTCTCACAGTAAAGCCTGTTCTTCTAGTGGTGATGATTTTTGTTTTCTTGATGTTGAAGTGTAACCCATATTGAAGGCTATAGTCTTTGACCTCCTATAGTGTAAGAGCTTTAAGTTTTCTTCACTTTTTTGCAAACAAGGTTGTGTTATATGCATAACAAAAGATGAAAGGTCGGAGAAAAAGAGGAATCCCCTCAAAAAGATAGATTTACACAGTTACTATCACAATGGACTTGAGCATGACAGAGATCCAGAGGGTGGTACAGAATAGGGCAAGGTTCACCTCTATTGTGCATAGGGTTTCTATGTGTTGTCGTTGACTTGACAGCACCTAACAGCAACAACAGTGATGAATGTTGAAGAGGGAATAGCATCATATTCATCATCAAAAAAGAATGATTCAAGATCTCTCCTAAAGTATAATTTAGTCAGTCATAGGATGACTTCCGTAACTGCATATAGGAAAGTCTCATTGTATGCAAATTTATGCAACAACCACTAAATCCAAAGATGAAGAAATTGATGAATTTCTCCCAACTTGTACAATCTGAAATGGATCAAACATGAAATCAAGATGTATTAATAATAACTAGCTATTGAAATGCAAAAATCAAGAATGAAGGAGAATTGATTGTTGGACAATATGGACAATAGAAACAAGGCTGTAAATTGCATGATAGCATTTTTTTTATGAACTGCTTATTCATTGCAAATACTTTTTTATTTATTTTTTTAAATTTTTATTATTTTTTATGTGTATACCATTAAATCGGATCTGACTGGTACAGGAGGAGATTGCTCCTCCTTCTCCAGCAGAGCATCTGGTGGATTCGAACCGCATACCTCTGGGGTTGCAGTGCAAATACTTTTTTAAAAAACCACAAAAAAACCCCACATAAATGGCAGCTATACACATGGATGTCCCTGAGAGAAAGACACAGAAATCAAATCAATACATCTGTAGAAAGATATATTGAAGAAGCTCAATGTCATCTGTCAGAACAAAGCCAGTGGCCATCTGGAACAGACTGCTGATTGTTTATGTTGTTGTTATATGCTGTTAAGTCTCTTGTGACTGACTCATAACAACTTTATGCACAATATCTCTGAACCCTGCCCTATCCTGAGCCAATCTCACTGGCTCTAACACACCTGCCCCTCTTGCCCCAGTCAATATGTCAATCTGTCTCATCTGGAGTCTTCCTTCCTCTCCTGTGTTGTCCCTCCACCCTTCTAAGCATGATATCCTTCTCTCAGGATTGGTCCCTCCTGGACATATGCTCAAGGTATGTGAGACAGAACTTCAAAGTCCTTGCCTCCAGAGAGCACCTTGGTTAGACCTGTTTGTTTTCTTGATAGTCCATGGTATGTTCAATATTCTTGTCCAGTACCACAACTCAAAGGCATCAGTTCTTTTGTCATGCTTATTCATTGTAAGTAAGCTCAAATTGAAGCTGAAGAAAATGAAAACAAGTCCTAGAGCCAAAACTTGACTTTGTTTATATTCCATCTGAATTAAGAGATCAACTCAAGAATAAACCTCATATATTGAACACATAGTGACTGAAGTTCAGTGCAAATACCTTTTCTTTTTTAAAAATTTTTTTTTTAATTATTTTTGTGTGCGTGTACCATCAAATCAGATCTGACTGGTACAGGAGGAGATTGCCCCTCCTTCCCCGGCAGAGCATCTGGTGGATTTGAACCATGCACCTCTGGGATTGTAGTTGCAGCTTCTTGCCACTAGGCCACCAGAGCTCCCTGCAAATACCTTTTCTAAAAGATGACTTTACATGTGGATTTCATCCGATGGGCTACATAGGAGTCAGACTGACTACATTTATGGAGAGGGTGCAGCTGGAGTGCCCTTTGGAGGCAAGAATGATGAGGCCTTACCTCACATACTTTGGACATATTGTTAGGAGGTGTTATTCCTTCGAGAGGAACATGATGTTGGGAAGGGTAGAGGATTGGTGAAGGAGAGGAAGACCCTCAACCAGGTAGATTGACAAGGTAACTTCTGGAATGGGCTCTTGTGTGTCAGAAAGTATGAGGATGGTGCAGGAATGGGCTAGGTTCAGATCTTTTGTTCATACGGTTCCTATGAGTCGTACTTGACTCCATGGCACCTAACAACAACAGTGACTAAAGAATTATGGGAGGATATCATACATCAGGAAAACAGAAAATCATTAAATGACAAAGAAAGTATCAAAAGAAAATAAAAAGAATGCATAGAGTCATCAGATCAAAAAGAATTGTTTGGTACTCATTTTAGGAAGTAGCATATGACCAAGAACCAGTTGTACTAAGGAAGTCCAAGCTGTACTCAAGCCATTATAATAAACAGATTCTTGGAATTGATGGAATATGAGTGTTTCCAAAAATATGCAGTATTGGATGTGCTAACTCATGCAAAGGAATTTAGAAGAGAGCCAACTGGAAAAGATCCATGTTGTCCTCATACCAGTACTGGTAATCCACCAAAATACAGAAGTTACTGAAAAATATCAGTAATACCACAATGCAAGTAAAATCTTGCTGAAGATTAATAAAAACCAGCAGGAATGATACATCAGTAGGCAATTGCCAGAAATTCAAGATGGATTTTAAAAAAACAAAGGAAGAGAGGTGTATAATTGCTGTTGTCAGATGAATCTTAGCTGAAAGCAGAGAGTATCAGAGAAGTGTTGTGTTTTGTTGACTATGCAAAGTTGTTCAATTATGAACACTTGTTTTCAGCATGTTATCAAGAGGTGCCAGTCCCTGAAGGGGAACATCATACTTAATATAATGGAGAACCAGTAGAAAAAAGAAGACAAGATAGATTGGCACACAGTGGGCTTCAGCATAACAGCCATTGTGAAGGTTGTGCAGAACCAGACAGTATTTAATTCTGTTGTACACAGGATCTCTGTGAGTTAGTCTGGATGTGTTTCATTAACTATGCAAAAGCATTTGACTGCGTGGATCACAACAAATTGTGGCTGACATTGAGAATGGGAATCCCAGAACACTTGACCATGCTCCTGTGAAACCTATACTTGGACCAGGAAGCAGTGATCAGAACAGAGCAGGGAAACACTACATGGTTCAAAATCAGAAGAAGAATGTGTTAGGGATACAACCTATCTCCATACCTTTTCAATCTATATGTGGCACAGATCATTTGGGAGGCTGGGCTCTATGAGGAGGAATGTGGCATCAGGATTGGAGGAAGACTCATCAACAACCTATGTTATGCAGATGACACAATATTACTTGCTAAAACTGAAGAGGATTTAAAGCATTTGCTGCAGAAGGTCAAGGACTGTAGTCTTCAATATGGACTGAAGCTCAATATCAAGAAGACAAAGATACCCCTGGACCAATTGGCAGCACCATGATGGATGGAAAAAAGATTGAAGTGGTTAACATCTACAGCTTGCTTGAGTCCATAGTCAACACTCTTGGCACTGGCAGTCAGGATTCAAAAGACAAATTGCATTGGGAAAATCTGCTGTCAGAAACCTCTCCAGAGTCCTGGAGACTTAGGTGCACCTGATCCAGCCTATATACAGTCTTTGCAGTTAACTTGCTATGCAGCAGAAAGGTGGACAATGATTAAGGAAGAATTTATTCCTTTGAGTTGTGGTGCTGAAGAGCATTGAACAGACCATGGACTGTTCAGAGAACAAACAGGTTGTCCTGGAGAGGGTGAAATCAGGTTGTTCCTTGGAGGCAAGACTTTTGAAGCTCTGTCTGACATACTTTCAGCATATTGCCAGGAGGGACATACTTTGGTCATGTAAGGAGAGACCGGTCCTTGGAAGGGTGGAGGGAAAACACAGGCGAGGGAGACCCTGCATGAGATGGATTGAAACAATAACTGGAGTAATGAGGTAAGTGTGTTGGAGGCAATGAGATTGGCTCAGTATAGAGCAGAGTTCAGAGCTATTATTGTTCATAGGGTCTTTATAAATTAGTCAGCTCAGTGGCACAAAGCAACAACCAGGTCGCTCCAGTGACTTAGTGGTAAGGAACTGTGCTGGTAAACAAAAGGCTCAAATCCATCAGTTGCTCCATGGGAGGAAAAAGGGTAGTCTCCTCCCGTGTGATTTACTGCTTATGAAAACCCATTGGAGGATCAGCTGTGAATCAGTTCCAGTTCTATGGTATGTAACAGAAGAGAGGATTGGGGGGGCGGTGGGTAGGCCACAATGCTTCTGAAACTATAGAATTTAGAGTTAGATATAGGATATGGAACACTGTTGTTGTTGTTGTTATGTGCCATTGAGTTGCTTGCGACTCATAGCGACCCTATGTACAACAGTCCTAAACTCTGTTCTGTCCTGTGCCAATCTCATTGTCTCCGACACACTCATCCCAATTACCCCAGTCAACAAATCAATCCATCTCCCAGAGGGCCTTCCCCTCCTGCACCTGCCCTCCACCCTCCAAGGACCGGTCTCTCCTTACATGACCAAAGTATGTCAGATGAAGCCTCAGAATCCTTGCCTCCAAGGGGCATCTCGGTTTAACCCTCTCTAGGATGAATCTGTTTTCCTGGCAGTTCATGGTACCCTCAATACTCTTCTCCAACACCAAAGCTCAAAGGCATCAATTCTCCTTCTATCCTTCTTAGTCATTGTCCAACTCTCTGACGCATAACAAGTGATTGCAAAGACCATGGCCTGTATCAGATGCACGTTAGTCTCCAGAGAGACATCGTTGCTCTTCAGTACTTTAGAGAGGTCCCTAACAGCAGACTTTCCCATCACAATGCGTCTTTTAATTTTCTGGCTGCTGGTGCCAAGAGTTTTGATTGTGGAGCCAAGTAGACTAAATCTCTGAACAATCTCAATCTCTTCACCATCCATCCTGATGCTGCCAATTAGTCCAGTGGTGAGAATCTTGGTCTTCTTGACATTGAGCCTTAATCCATATTGAAGGCTGCAGTCCTTGACCCTTTGCAGCAAGCGCTTCAAGTCCTCCTCAGTTTCAGCAAGCAGGGTTGTGTCATCTGCATAACGCAGATTGTTGATTGATCTTCCACCAACCTTGATGCCGCATTTCTCCGTATAGAGCCCAGCCTATCGTTGATCTTACATTCAAGCAAGATTCTGCTGAACATTATCCAAAAACGACTGGAACAGCACATCAGCAGAGAACTGCCAGAAGTCCAGTCTGGGTTTAGAAGGAGTCGTGGTACTAGGGATATTGTAGCTAATGTTAAATGGATCTTGGCTGAAAGCAGGGAGTACCAGAGGAATGTCTATCTGTGCTTCATTGATTGTGCAAAGGCGTTTGACTGTGTGGACCATAACAAACTGTGGCTGACTCTGAGAAGAATGGGAATCCCAGAACACTTGATTGTGCTAATGTGAAACCTATATTTGGACCAGGAGGCAGTCATCAGAACAGAGCAAGGGAACACTGCATGGCTCAAAATTGGGAAGGGCATATGCCAAGGATGTGTCCTGTCTCCATACCTTTTCTTATGGAACATTACTGAATCTAATTCTTAAGAAAGCAAACATATCATTTGATCTTAACCATGAAGAGCACAGGTATTCTGTGTGTCTCAGGTTAGTGCTAAATCTAGCCAGACACCTCTCTTCAGCTTTTGGAAAGTACAGAGCTGTTTAGTAATTTTTAACAATGTGCCCTTGTCCACAGTTTGTGGCAGAGGACCTCTCCAAGGAATGCTTCTGGACCAAGGTGAAGGAAGATCGTTTTGAGAACAATGAACTCTTTGCCAAACTCACCCTTACCTTCTCTGCCCAGACCAAGAGTGAGTACCTTCCTCTTTTGTGAAAGGGTCAAGTTTAGGGCTTAGAATATCCTTTGTCATAAGTGGGTTTCCCATTGCCTTCCCTTCTCTATGTAAGGGCAGAAAGGGATTGTTGGGTAGAAGATAAATGAGTTTTCCTGCTGGTATAAAAGAAAATGTTTTCATACCCTGGGATAATGAATGGGGTTGGGAGAGATACCTGGGACTAGGTATTTTGTATTGATAGAACACATAAAGATGTAAGACTGAAGTGACAGAAATTCAGTTGCACCTATTTACATTATTCTATCAGCTGGGTTCTGATACTGCCTTCAGGTGCCAGCTCCAGGCTTGGGTGCTTAATAAAGGTTGAACAGACTCTTTACAGGTCAAGTGGTTGAGTGGCTGACTACAGAAAACCAGTGTGTGATTTTGTTTGTTTCTTTCTTCCATTTTCTCCAACATTTGATGCTCTCTCCTTTCTGGCTGGCCCTTCGCTCTTACAGCTTCCAAAGGTAAGAATACAGAAGTCTCAATGTTAAAGTAAAGGATGAAACACATGTAAAGAAATTTCTCATCAGAAAAATGAGAGCAGATATTGGGATTTATTTCTCTTTGCTAGGTTTTGTTTGACTTTCTGGAGCCCAGAAGGACCAATCAATCTAGTGTTAACTAATACAGAGGAAAGTTAGTTTAAGTTGAAATGACCCTGGACTCATTCTTTCCTTGAACATTAAGTGAGAGACAGCTTAAGTAATGATGTCACGTTTGTGATGTATTTTACAGGTTTGACCTAGCCACCTCATGGGATAGACAGGATTTACAGACTAGGAGCTGTATGAGCTTGCCCTGTCATAGACCAGATCTGGTGTCTTGATTCCTGGTCCATTTTTGTTACCTAAACTTTTATTTTTCATTCACCTTGTTATGTTCTTCTTTGTTTTAGAAGACTCATCTTTTGTGTGCCCTTTCATCACTTCCTTTTTCTAGTGGCCTTTTGAAAGCCACTTGTGTTTATTTCCCCTAAGGGGTACCTACATTTGAATGATCTTGTCATGTATCTAAAGATATTCTATCTCCATCTCTCGCTCTCTCTCTCTTTTTTTTTTTGCATTTCTGTTTTCTTTGAAGGTTTTTTTAATAACAGAAATTAAGTGTAACCAGCATCCCCGTAAATTAGCATTGTTGAAGACCTTCTTCCCCCACCCCTCACCCCCCACTTGCACCAAGTGATTTGTGTCACTTTGTTCCATTTAGAAGCCTAGTAGATTGCTAGATGCCTCTGGTAGCTCTTAGAAATGGAGTGAGGGTAAAATCACATTGCTCAGTATTGCTTTGTTTCTTTAGCATTTATGGCAAAATGGCCTTTTCCCTCAGAGAATTGTCACTTTCTTAGCTAGAGTCCAGTTAAAATACTCTGTGAAGGTGCCAATTTATACTATTCTATACCTCTGGAAACTGAGCTTTGAGAAACTATAGTTATAGTAAGGCTTCAGGTCTTTTGTTCATAGGGTTGCTCACTATGAGGCATGCTTGACTTGATGGTAATCAACAACAAAAACATGAAAGCCTAGTTAGCAATAAAAATTAAGTCAAATGACTTCCTAACCTGTGAGATTACAGAATTTGTCCTTCTTTTGGCTTCTGATTTAAGTATGTTTCTCATTGTGTGGCTCTGCATTCTAAAAGTGCATGTGTATATATGTACACAGATGGAACCCTTTTCTCCCTCTCTTACCCTTGTCCTCTGTTTATCCTGTATATTTGTATTCCTATTGATATAGCTGAGGGTTCTGCAAGTCTGTAGTCTTCCTTGCAATTATATTCACATGAATTGGTCCATAATATTTTTTAAAATACCTAACAAGACTTAATCTGACCATTTGTAATATCAAGCCCGAGTTCTCTAAGAGGTTACGCAAGAAAATGCTTTTTTACTCATTAAAGATTAACTTCTGAGCAGCTTTGACTTTTTTTTTTGTGGAGATGACCTGTCTTTGTTGCTGGGGGGCAGGTGCCCAGGAGCTCTTGGTGGGCGCGTAGGCTTCCTCTTCACCATCACGGGCTTCTTGCTGTGCAGGATGGCACGGACCCTGTGCATGGTGGCCATGGACAGGTCAGGCCGGCACTTGTTCTCGCGGATCATGTGGCTGATGCTGCTGAGTGCGGCCGGGGCGTTCTTGTGAATGGTGATCCACACGTAGGAGGTAGCTTGGTTCCTCTGGCCTGACCTCTGCTTCACCACCACCACAACCCCCTGGTTGTTGGGAGGACCAGCTCTATCCCCACAGTTTTGCGGTGGATCAGCCTGTTGTAGTGGAAGGATTTTCTGGCTTTGAGGTTATTGGGCTCAGTGCTGAAGGTCAGCTTGTTCCTCTTGATCAAGAAGCTGCAGCGGTTAACACACGAGCATCCATTGCAGATGGGCAAACATGGCAGTAGGTTCTCTTGCTGCGGCAGCTGGAGGCAGAAAGAGCTTTTCTTTCTATCTTTATTTTTAATAATCTCCATATCTTACTTTGAAAAGAGTAAGTATAAATTAATCAATTTCGTTTAGTAGCATTGTTGATATTCATATCATAATCATTATCACAAGTGGTGGAGGTGGTGTTAGGTGCTGTCAAGTTGAGTACAACCCATAATGATCCATGAACAACAGATCAGAACCTTGTCCCATCCTGCACCATCTTCACCCTTCCTGACACATTAAAGCCCTCTGTGTTTTAACCAGTCAATCTACAAAAATGATTGCAAATCAGAAAACTCTCAGGCCCAAACTTAGCATGTGCACATTCCAAAATTGACTAAAAGAAATTTTTTGACTGATATTTAAAAAATTTAAAGCATAGAAGTTTATTTAGAATTTATTACATTTTCATGTAAGAGCATAACATTTTTAATGGCTAAATTAAAAATGGTATGTTTTTAATAAAACAGGCATGTTTCCTATTAAAAAAAAAGCCCATTGTGGCAGTCACCATGTCAGTCTACCTGAATGAGGGTCTTCCTCTCCTTCGCCATCCCTTTTCTCTCTGTGCATCCTGTCCCTTTCTAAGGAATAGCCTCTCCTAGCAACATGCCTGAAGTATGTGAGGTGAAGCTTCATCATCTTTGTCTCCAGGAAGCGTTCTGGCTGCACTTTCTCCAAGACAATCTTGTTTGTTCTTTTGGTAGTCCATGGGATATTCAGTGCTCTTCTCCAATACTAGTCAGCTCAAAGACATCAATTCTTCTGTCATCCTTATTCATTGTCCAGCTCTCAGATGCAAAGCAAGTGATTAGAAAAATTGGAAATTATCACAAATACATTTGTTCTATTCTGGTCAAGGGAAATTCTAGCTGGATTTTCAGAATCTTTAGTTTTTGTTAGGCCTTTTATTTATTTATTTATTTTAAATTTTTATTTTATTTTATTTTTACGTGTACCATCAAATCAGATCTGACTGGTACAGGAGGAGATTGCCCCTCCTTCTCCATTTGTTAGGCCTTTTAGATGTTAGATTGTCACACTTTCTTAATTTCTCTGTGAGCACTTGAGAAGGTGTTCTTAAAAGTTACTGAAGTGGGGGAGCTCTGGTGGCCTAGTGGTAAGGAGCTGCAACTACAATCCCAGAGGCACACAGTTCAAATCCACCAAATGCTCTGCCGGGGAAGGAGGGACAATCTCCTCCTGTACCAGTCAGATCTGATTTGATGGTACACTCACACAAAAATAGTAAAATAAAAAAAATTAAAAAAAAAAAGTTACTGAAGCGTTCCCAGTTTTCCAGGAATCTTAATTCTTAAAGGTTTCAAGAAATTCTTAGGAGAGTCGTCCCCCCTCTATTAGTTCCAAGTCCTTAATGTTTATCCATCTTCAGCATTTGTCAGTAGCACTCAAACACAGCACAATAGTCCTACTTCTTGTCAACCATATTGTAGCTATACAATCATACCTTGTTTTATTATGCTTTGCAGATACTGTGTATTGTTTTGGATTTTCTTATAAATAGAAGATTTAACCAACCCTGCATTGAGCACTCTCCTAGCACCATATTTCCAACAGCATGTACTCACTTCATTTCAAGTTCTCTGTTGTTTTTTTGTTTTGTATTATATTTTTTATTATTAATTTTAATGAACGTTTACAGAGACTTTGGATTTCCATTCATTCATTGTTGCCTTTTTCTCCCTGCCCACCCCTCCCACACCTCTGTCGTTTTTTTTGGTAGTTCTCCGAATAGTCCCAAATGTTTTTATAGTGCTGTTGCACCTAATAGACGACCAAACCCAGCCCACTGCCATTGAGGCCGTTGTGTTTATTCTGACTTAGAGTGACCTTCCATTGGGTTTCCAAAGCTATTAAGCTTTATGAGAGAAGACTGCCCATTTTTTTCCAGTTGAGCAGCTGGTGGATTTAAACTGCCGGCCTTTTTGGTTAGCAGTGCACCATGTAACACACTACAGTAGACCACACACAGCAGAGTGTAAATTTAACTTTTATATGTACTAAGAAACAAAAATTCAGGTGACTTGTTTTATCACACTGCTCACTGTATTGCAGTGGTCAAAAACCAAACCTACAATATACAGTATGCCTGTATACGTTTTTTAATATTTCCCAGTGGAGGGAAAAAAATTCCTTTTTAAAAAGATCTTTTCTTTTTTTTTTTTTACTGAAAACTAGTATTATTTTAAAATTAAGTGCATAGCACTCATCTAATTCCATTGGTGTAGATAAAAAGATCATTTCTTTGGATAGTCATTGTTTTATTGGCTTCATAATTGTCTGATTCACCATTTTCCCCTCCGCCTTCCTTGCACGTTTTCCAGCTTGCTTTCTTCTTAAGCTATTCTGCAAATCTATGATGATTCAATAATTATCAGAATATTTTTTTTGTTATGTTCCATCAAGACACCTGCGGTTCTTAATGATCCTATGCACGATAGCTCTGAGCCCTGCTCTATCCGGAGCCAGTCTGTGTCTTAACTACCTACCTCCCATTACCACATTACTGTGTCAATCCATCTCATCCAGGGTTTTTCTCTTCTATACTGTTCTTCCACCCTCTGAGCATGATCTCCTTCTCCAAGGACTGGTCTCTCTTGATAATATGCCCAAAGTATATCAGATGGAGTTCCAAAATCCTTGCCTCCAGGGAGCAACTTGGTTTCACCCTCTTTAGCATAGACCTTATTGTTCTCTTGGCAGTCCATGGTATGTTCAATACTCTTCTCCAGCATCCCAAATCAAAGGCATCGATGATTCCTCTGTCTTCCTTATCCCAACTCTCTGATGCATAGCAAGTAATTGCGTAGACCAAGGCCTGAGTTGAGTGCACCTTAGTCTCTAGACTGATATCATTGCTCTTCAGCACTGGGACTTGTTTTACAGTATTTGTGTTAGAAATAGAATAGCTGCTTGGCTGTCTTTATGCATGGGCATCAAATAGAGAATGAAAATGCTGCATACAGCCCCAGTGCCCTGTATAACATTGTAACTGAGTTGTCTCTGCCTTTCCCGATGTGGTCTTAA